AAGTCTGAATCAATAGATCTGTGGGCAGGCCTCAGAATTGGTACTATTTTGTTTTCTTTTCCTTCAGCCTTGTAACGAAGCTGGTATTATTATCAGCATGTAGTAATGGTTGTGGTATATCTTTTCCTTTTTATATAGTATGCTTGGATTGTATTTAAAAAAAACATATACTTCTAACTTCTCACACCTGATAATGTGATACAGATTCTGTATGGCGCTGATCGCTCATACCCAAGATCAACACATTTCATCTCTTGGGCCAACTCTGATTCATGGATGTGCTCCGCTGATAAAAGATTCTGAGGCCGTGTGAAGTCTGGGTGAGATTATAACCTTTTGGCCTGAGAAAGATGAATCAGTTCTATCCAGCCTACAGTCACTTATTTCCTTCTTCTTATCCACTGCCCATCTCTCACTCGAATAATAAATCAATCTCCAATTCCTGTACCCTCGCACACATGCTCAGGACAGAGCAGATCTGCTCCTCTCCTGTCCTCCTTTCTTTTCTAGAATATCTATACAATAGTTGGAAATGGAGGCCAGTGTTTGTCTATCAGCTACGGAAGCCCAGAAAGCCCAGAAAAAACAAAGCATAGCAGCTCACCTAACTGTGAGGCAGATACTAACATGAATCACTTTGTTTTGTTCACCTAACAATGTTATGAAATAAATTTTGCTATCTCCAGACTAGAAATGAAGAAATGCTTTTTAGAGAGCTTTCTCAAGTCATTTTCCAAAAGACATTCAGAAAGTATTCAAAATATTCCTAATACCAAAGACTACGTGCTTCATCTTTATACAATTCGGAGCAGGGAAAAAAAAACATTTTCCCTAGCTTAAAAAAATAATTATGTAACTATAACCTCTCTGTACATCGCCTTGACAATAAAATTAAAATTAAAAAATAATAACAATGCATATCATTCAAGGGGCTAGAATTTGTTCTTGTTTTCTCATAAAATGAGTGAAATTCCTTATTTTTATATGTAACATCCAAAAACTGAACATACAAGAACATGGAGCTTTGTATATTTGTTCAGTTACCTCTGCTTTGTGACTTAGTATCTTTTCCATGGTTTATTGCTAACTACACTTTTTCTACCCACGTGTCTCAGGTAAAAACAACCTATCCTAACTCAGATCTTGACTCTTGATTGTCCCAGGTTTATATTTAACACACACATTCAATCCTTGCTCCATTTTAATATTAGGTGTCCTAATTGTTTTCTTGGAAAGCACCAGGGTCATAGTTTATTAAAGATTTCTTGCTGCTGCACGTTCACTATCAAATTAACTTAATTTATGCATATCCGTGCTTGATCCACTCATTTCTAACAAAACACATACTTGAAAACAGGTCAGTTCATTGGTAAATTTACATGTATGCTTCACTCTAACTTAATAATGGAATGGTTGATATAAAGGGCATGCTGGCAGAGCTCTGGTGATAGAGTTCATGGTAACAGCAGGACTCGATGCCCATGAGTTATGTGATGTTTATGAAAGTGGACCATCCAAGCTTTGGAAATGTCTTCCATCTTATTCCTTTTAGGTTCTGGAAAGTTCCTCTTTGAAATAGCATATTTTTGTAGACAGACATTAATTTAGCACTTGTAAAAGGTGCTTCAAAGATGGAATTAGTGGTGGTTTTTCCTGTTCTGTTTCTCAATCTCGTATATCCTGAGCACTATAGAGGGAAGTAGCTTCTGCATGTTTCAGGGTGTCTTCAAGATGGAAGAGCTTCCTGCCTGGGAAGGAGGGCGCTGGGGCAGGGCTGGCAGGCAGAAGAATATGAATTACGGAAACAAGACTCACAAGATGACAGCATTTTGGAGTCCCCTCATACATTCGAGAAAATCTACCATGATATTTTTATTGCACAACTGGTCATACTGAAAGAGTCAATTGCAAAAATAATTGAGTTAAAACAATCACAAATAACACAATCAGAATACCAGAAGTTTTGGGTGCTAGTTCATGGCAGAATAAAATCAAGTGACCCATTCACCAGTAAGCACTGGGGAAGAGCATCAGGATTCTCAGCAGAGAAGAACTAAGAGTCAACAGAGAGAAAGAAAGAAAAAAAAAGAAAGAAAGAAAGAAAAAAGAAAGAAAGAAAGAGGAAGGGAGGAAGGGAGGGAGGGAGGGAGGAAGGAAGGAAGGAAGAAGAGAAAGAAAGGAGAGAAAGGAGAGGAAGGCAGGCAGGCAGCAAGCAGGCAGGCAAGAAGGAAGAAGGAAGGGAGGAAGGGAGGGAGGGAAGGAGGGAGGGAGGGGTTAGAAGGAGGAAGAGGGGGAAAGGAAGAATAAGACACTTGTTATAATGCCTTTATTTTCATGTGTAAGAACAAGCTAGAGAAAAAGTCAGTTATTTAAAATTTTAAAACCTAGCCTACTGGATCATCATTTGTTCTATTTAGTTGACTAGATTATTGTTTGTTCTATTTAGGAACGATTTTGGATAATGTGCGCCTAGTCTACATAATAACTTCCTACAGGTCAGAATCGGGAAGTGGTCCACACAAGTGACAATGCAGGAAAAGGCAAACTTCGACAGGAGCCTGTGTAAAAAGGCTGCGGGTCACAAGAGAGAAATTCATCAGCTCACTGGTGAGGTCTGCCGCAAATGAGACCCTGTACAAATGACACAATCAGTTTCGGGAGAGACAAAGGAAGCGAAAACTGCGATTCTCTTTCTTTCTTTCTTTCTTTTTTTGCAATTCTGAGTTTTCTTTGTTTTATACTGAGAAGTCACATTTTCACACTTTTATTGTAAAGGTGATGTGCAGAGGGGTGACAGTTACATAAGCAGGTAATGAGGATATTTCTTTTTGTCACTCCTTCCCTCATGTTCTCCTGGTTTTTTCCCTCCCTCCCCAACGCCCCCCAAGTTATATAGTTCATTTCCAACATAGTGTCTAGTGAACTGTGATTCTTAAATAGACCTTATCCAAGCAAATCTCTCTACAGCACAAATCTGTACATGAGAACAGAGCTACAATACAGTACACACATGCAGTACACACACCACACACATATATAGTACACACACCACACACATATATAGTACACACACCACACACATATATACACGCCCCCCCCCACACACACACAGAAGCAATTCCGAATTCCACAGGAAACTAAAATCACCATATTTACACGAACAGCAGGTAAATATTTGCCTTCTCCACCGGTTGATGTGGGTGTTTCGACAGCATGGATAGGTGTTTACTTAGAAGGCCGGTGTTGATGCCTGGTTACCACAGGAGACGTCAAGGCTGCCTGTGTGCTTTGACTAAGTCTTCATATACTTGTCCAGAGAGGAGGAGGAAATCGCTACTGTTGCTAAAAGCTGAGGTGCCCTCAATGTGATCAAGCTGGTGTCTGTCTGAATCATTGCTACCAAGGCTATCATTGTTCTCATCACCAGGATTCGTTTTCTTCTTGGATATCACACACATGTACTAGAAATGAAGGGTGCTTTTGGGCAGATAGCATCTATGACATTTCACACCTCTATTAATTACCCACTGTCCTCCATGCTTAGAATTGTCTTTCCTTCCCCAACACCACCTCCTGTTTATCCTCTGAAGAGACAGCTTCTTCTCTTTCTCCTACAGTAATAAAGCAGACATTGTGTAGACTTACAAATGACTTGTATTACTTAACAATCTCTTCTACAGGTCGTCCACATATATAACTGTACTGAACGTGGCAGACACCTGTCCATGGACATTATCTAACAGTTTGTACAATTACAGACAACTGCAGAGACTGTGTGCTTGTGTGTTCATGTCTTTCAGCATGAGAAGATTGTCCAAAGTTTCTGAGTGAAACAGCATATTATATGTTGGCAACAATTCTCAGATTGCTCTATCTGCACCTGGCACAATAGAAACAGAATTTAGGAGCTGTTTGTTGCCCATTCTGGAACCAACAACAAACTTTAACTCTCCCATGGAAGTGAGAAATATCTTATTTTTAACCTTCATTTGAATTTCTTCAAATATGCATGAATATTAGCTTTATTCTATAGACCTCCTGACATGCCTGTACTCTTTTATCATGGACCTCTCCAAACCTTCTTTTAAAAGTTCACAGAGGGCTTGAGGATGTGAATATTGTTGTAAATAATTTACAATTTCCATTGATTATACTCCATTTACCCATATGTGTGTGTGTGTGTGTGTGTGTGTGTGTGTGTGTGCTAGTACTAGATGCTCTACTACTTGAGCCACAGCTCCACTTGCTGCTTTTTGAGGATAATTGGAGATAAGAGTTTCACAGACTTTCCTTCCAGGGTTTCCAACCCTGATCTTCCTACCTCAGCCTCCTAAATAGCTAGGATTACAAACGTGAGCCAGGGTACTGGGCCACATCTTTTTATAGTCACCCTTGTTTCCTCTCATTCTTGTCAGCCACCCCTGTGGGCTTCATCAAGCCGCCATCGACTACATCAGCCCTCTCCCAGCTCAGAAAGAGCGTCTGTCCTCTTCCTGGACTGTCTTTTCTGATCACACAGGCAATGGGCAGGGCCTCAGTGGATCAGATCCTGGCCATTCTGATGGAGTACCCCAAATGGAGCCTCTACTTGCCAGAGATCCTGACACACCCACTTCGGAGCTCTGAGAGGATCGGGAGAAGCCGGGGCTTGGGGAGCGCTGTGCAGTATTTAAATGAGCGTCATGCTGTTCATGTGTGTGTGCACATGCGCGCACACACACACACACACACACACACACACACACACACACACACACACAGTGTATCCTGCCTTCCCAACTATGTAATTCCTCCCCAGGAGTCATGCCTTCACTACTGAAAGGAAAAAAGAAAAGCTTAGAGACACAGGTTGCTGATTGAGCTTATAAATAAAAGTTCTGGGTTTATGTTTCTACCCATTGGTACCTTAATGATGTAAATCATCTGATTTGTTGCACATATTCACAGAGTTCTTCTCGGTCTTTGAAGTGCTAAGTTTACTTATAGAAAAAGAAAATCCAGTACTTACCGGCAGGGGTACCACGGTCATGAAGTGGGGTTTCCCAGGGTGAGGCTTATCCATTGCACTCCAGATGTGGTGAACCTCGATGTCCCCAAATGCGGGGACCCTGACTGCATAATCTGTAGTAGTGGGGGACTGCGTTCACACTCTACCCTGAAAAAAGAAAAGAAAATCCATCATTAAGTGAATGATCTTAGTCCAACCCCCTCTGCCCTTCTCTTTTTGTCCTGTAGCAATCACCTTAGCTTCATCTGCAGATGATTTAAATGGATTCTGTCTTTAGCATCTCCTTTCACATCTGCTCTCTAACTCTTGGTGTGTGGGGGAGACACACACACATGCTCATGCTCACGTGCCATCCTGAGGCTTGAACTCAATTCCTGAGCTTCTATTTTTTTTTTTTCTTAAGGCTAGCCCTCTACCACTTGAGCCACGGCTCCACTTCTGGCTTTTTGACAGTTAATTTGAGATAAGAATCTCACTGACTTTCCTTCCAACAGTAATCCTCAGATCTCAGCCTCCTGAGTAGCTGGGATTACAGGTGTGAGCCACCAGTGTTTGGCTTCCCCAACTCCTTTAAACTGAGACGTGCTATCAAGACAAAGAGCTGTCCTAGGGGACCAGAGATACCCAAATCCGGGCCCCCTCCCACCCCCACAGTGGGCTAGGGAGGATCTACTTCTTCAAAATCACAATGTACCCAGACATACTGAAATACATTGGTTTGTAATAAAGTAATAAGTAGGGTCTTTGTGGAAAAATATATGGTAGAGATAAGAACAGAGAAACTGACATCCTTTGAAAACTGGACATTGCCTTGAGTTTGGGATTGTCTAGCCGCAGGCTGTTTACATGTGGTCTGAGCATGTTCTTAATGTGATCCTGTGCTTAAGCACATATAGGCTCAGTCAGAAAGGGAAAGACGGACATCAAAGTTGTGGCCCTGCCAGGAGAAAATTATAGGGTGTTTCCATGTTGGAAAGATCACTCATTTTCACTATTGGTTTGGGGCAATGAATTATCCATAAATAAAATCCTTAGAGAACTCTGACCAAAAATATATACTGTGCTTACACAAAGTACAAGTTCACGGAGTAGCTACTCTTGTCACAAAAGATCAAGTGTATTCAATTAAGAGAAGATGAGTTAGAGGAACTGCAAGTATTTGAAGTAACTTTGGAAATATACTGCCAACACATTCAAATTTCCTTTCTTGTTCCTGCAACGAAAAGCAGATAAATACAATAGCAAGAAAAAGCCTGGAACAGCTAACCTTATTTTAACTCTAACTTTGTAATTAATAATGATTTTGGTTTATTGATAACTTACTCTGTGTGAGGCAGAGTAAATGATTTGAGATCTGAGCATCCATGGTTCAAAGCCAGCCCTGGCAGACAAATCCATGAGACATTTATCTCCAATTAACCACTAAAAAACTAGAAGTGTGACTGAATTATTTGACGTGTAGCCTTGAGCAAAGAGCAGAAATGCAAAGTCCTGAATTCGGCTCCAGTATCTGCACAAAAAGTCAGAATTTACCTTTTTTGTTTAACTTTTATGTTGGGCTTTACTCCCAAGATTATATTCATTTAATATATTCTTTCTCACTTTAAAAGTATATTTCTGATGTTTGAAATTTATTATGATTCAATGTTGGTCAGGTAAATTTGGGAAGGAGGAAAGAGCACCCCCTTAATTTCATCCCCTTAATTTCAAGGTGACTCTAATGGAGATCAGCAAAAACATGCAGAGTCTTCAAGTCTTTGGACTAAACGTGACACATAGCAATTTTATTCAAAGTCCTTTGGACTGAATGACCCATCTATCTGAAAGTATGTACAGGACACCAGGGAAACTCCATGAAGAACTGGAGTAAAGGGGGATGTCTTCCATGTTTGACCAGATCAACATTATCTGGGTGCTATTGCTGAAGAAACTGAACCATTTTGTAGCTTGTAGCTCCAGTCACCTGCTCACGTCTGGGAGCCATCATTGTTCTAATAATGGTATCTTATTCAACTTGGATAAAATGCAGAGTATAATCTGCAAAATGAGAGCTGGGAAAATGAGAGCAGTTACAGGTAGTTATTATTCAACTTTTATTAATCTAGTCATATGATTGTTTCTAAGCACCTAGATTAGAAATGAAAGAACCCCCATAGATGTTAGAATTCCAAGGTTCATAGCAAATGCTGTTAGTAAACATGCATTGGTTGATCCATCCCAACGACTTTCAATCCCCCATTGATAGTTCTTCACCTGGCTCCTTTTTACCTTCTGACCTTTTTACCTAACAGAGATTTATCCATTTTAATATCTCTGATGATTTTCAAACTGCAAAGGAAGTCATGCTTTTAAATGCTGAGGCATATTAGCACATAGGGAGAAGAAGAAACACCACTGCGCATAAAGAAAACACAGTTTATATGATTTGACCATTGTGTACTTTTGAATGCATACCTATTTTCCGTTTCCAGGAGAGCTGTCATTTTGCAGGCATTCTTACCAGATTTCTACCTCTGTCTTCTTACATTAAATTTTTTTCTAGCCTTTTTCAAATTCTTCTAGCCTCTTAATTCATGTTTCTTCCATTTATTTAACTCTCTTCTGCTATACTATTCTTACAGTTTAAAATAATATCCATCCTAGTGCTGGCACACAGTCTTCTCATTTTCTTCTCAATTATCTCTTTGTTCTATGGTCCACATGTTTGTTATTGTTATTGCTGTTTTTGCTTGTTGCTGAGGGGGGGGGGGGGGGCGGGGGTTGAGGTTGTCATGGAGCTTAAACTCAGGGCCTGGGCGCTGTCCCTGAGCTCTTTGTTCAAGGCTAGTGCTCTTCCACTTTGAACCACAGCTCCACTTCTGGCCCTGGCTGGCTTTGAACCATGATTCTCAGATGTCAGCCTCCTGAGTAGCTAGGATTACAGGCGTGAGCCACCGGCACCCAGCTTAACCAGTTGTTTTTATTGTGCAGCTGGGACTGCTCGCTCTGTAGCCTGACCTCTTAACATTGTTCTTCATAGAAATTCATATCCAGCAATTCTCTGACCTGTCTGTTCATGTCTTGCCCTCTAGATCCTCTGAAACAGATCTTTCCAGTTTCCAAAATACTATTTTAATCCTTGCCTTTCTTTTTTATCCTTCCAAGTATGTCATCTGTTTTTCTAACATCCTCATCTGTAAGTAGTCATACTTTACTACTCTTCAAAATCTGTCTTTCCCACTCTATTTCTACATAACTTCTAAGAAGCAAATGTTGTTTATTACTTGTTCAATCATGTCCCTTCCTAGGAAATCACCTCAATATTTCAAAGCATCTTGAAGAGAATGGTCAAGTAATCAAAATCTGTTGGAGCGTAAGTTGTTTGTTATTTTTGCATTCTAACAATTAAAATGGAAGCTATCAATGATATAGTGATAAATTGCTCTCTCTGTCTTAGGAAGTACTTCCCTAAAACTTTTCAAGCTAATTACTTAGACATCTTAAAATTGGCTCGATTATGGTGTCATAAAAGTAAGTCATTAAAAAATATTAACCAATGTTTCCTGGTAACCTACAACTTCCTAGGCATTATGTTGGAGACTGGAATCACAGCAGAGAAAAATACAGACAAAATGCAGACTGTCCAAAGTTTATTGTATTCTGGCCAAATAAAAGCTTTTAAAAACAAGCAATTATAAAGGCTTGTGAGGTTATAAATTTTGTGATTAAATAAATAAAAAAAAGCTCAATGGCAGAGTCAGGAAATATTACCCCAAATAGTTTCACTGAAGCTGTTATCAGGTAGACAAGAAGGTTTTTTGTTTGTTTATTTGTTGTGCCAGTCCTGGATCTTGAACTTAGGGCCTGGGAGCTGTTTCTGAGCTTTTTGCTCAAGCCACAGTTCCCCTTCCAGCTTTTTTTTTTTTTTTTTGTAATTAGAGATAAAGAGTGTCGCTTTCCTAAGTGGGCTAGATTTGAATGCAATCCTTAGATCTCAGAAGTAGCTAGGATTACAGGAATGAACCACCGGCACCAGGAAAGTTTTTAAAGTAGAAGTAAAATAAAGACTCTGAAGATGGAGAAGTTTCTCCAGTCTTGGGTAAGGACAAGCTTTTCTAAGTATAGCACAAACAAAATGTTATAAATCTCAGAAATGATCAAGAAAAAAGATCAAAACTCCTGACTACAAAGTAAATAAGGAAATAAATAAATGGATAACCTTTTGAAAAGCAAATTCACTATGAAGGTAATTCAATAAAATAAACCAGCAAGCTTGGTGGCTCAAACTTATAATCCAGCCTCTCAGGAGATGGGGATGTAGCAGATCACAGTTTAAAGAGTATCCTAGTCCAAGCACAAAGGTAGCAAGGCTCCATCTCAACAGACAAGCTGTGGTATGATGGTGAACCACTGTAATCCCAGCTTCACTGGAGGCCAAGGTAAGGGGATTGCTGTCTGAAGGTTAAATGTGTGAGACTTTATCCAAAAAGTAACCAAAGCAGAAAAGGAATTGAGAATTGACTCAAGTGGAAGAACACTTACCTGAAAGGTATAAGGCCCTGAGTTCAAGTCCCAGTACTGAAATAAACAAACTGATACAAGATGAATACAGAAAGACTTCTATGAAATCAATACACCAAACATTTTTTTCAGAAATTCATTTTATGTCCTGCAAATATGAGCAGGATGTATCTCAGCTCTAGAATAACGGCATACAACAAATATCGAGTTATGAATTTGTGGTAAGAGAGATTCATAGGAAGCAGTGAGTGGAGATTGCTCTCTCATATTTATCATCAGTACTAGAGAAACATTTCCCTTCATTCTTAATACGGAGAAACTACTCTCACACTTTGATTTTGCTTTTCTCAGAGTCCTTCAATTATGCCCGTTGCTCTCACAATGGAATTCCAAATTAGAGTATTGGTTATTTTTTGAAAGAGTAGTTCTTGTTTCCCAATTATTCATCCTTTTTACCAAATTTGTTGAACTCACACTCTGTACATGGCTGAAACCTATGCTCTAGAGAGAGCCCAGACTAACGTCAACACACCCAGAATGGAGGACAGAGAAACCTGAAGGGCTAGACAGAAATCCAGAAGACAGTTACCCAAGGCACACTCAGGGAGGAGGGAGGGGGAGAAGGCCCGAGAAAGCCTCTGGGTGGATGA